GCCTGACCCGACCCCCTCCTGCTCCTCAGAGCCCCCCCTGCCCGGCCCCGGCGAGGGCAGCGCGGGGCGGCCGCTGCGGGACTCCATGCTGAAGCACCCGGACAGCCCCACATCCCCAGGAGACCCCGAGAGCGCCAGCGACCCGGCCCGGCCCTGGAGACCCTTCCTGGGGGTGGGTGAGGGCTCTGCCTCACGCGGGCTCGGCCGTGGCGGCCATTGGAGCCTGCCGTCGCGGTGTCGCGCTTTGCCTCCCCGTCACCGGCGCGTGGCTTTGCCTTGCAGCTGGAAGACGCTCACCCGGCTCCTCCTGGCCTGAAGGAAGACCAAGGTGGGTGCCGGGGGCCGCGGGGTCTCTGCCTTCCCTGCTCCGCCTGCCCGTGCTGTCACAGGCCTCGGGGCGCATCCCCACGCCGCTGTCACCGTCTCACCTCTCCCCCGCAGACCTGGACTCCCAGGTCTCCTCCGCGGGGTTGGGGACCATCCTGAGACCCGAGGAGCCCAAATCCCGCTCTTACTTCCAGAGCGTCTCCGTCACCAAAGTGACTCTCCCTGACGGGGTGAGTGTCCGCGGCGGGCACAGCCGTGGGCCGTGGGTGACCTGGGGCCGCGGTCCCCGGCGCAAGGAGCAGAGCCCAGGGCGATGGCGTCTCTCAGGGCTCGGTGCTTTGCGCAGGCGGTGGAGGAGCGCCGGACCGTGCAGGACAGCCAGGGCCGCCGGGAGACGACGGTGACGCGCCGGAGGGGGGACCAGGCCTTCATCACCACCACCAAGGAGGACGGGCAGAGCAAGGACTACCGGGAGGAGGTGGTCAACATGGATGACCGTGAGTGGGGCGCTGAGGTGGCGAGGGGAGCGGGCCGGGTCCCCTCTGAGCGAGCTCACCCTGCTCTCCCAGGGGAGCTGGCGCAGTTCGCGGGCACATGGCCGCAGCAAGACGAGCTCCGCGCTCCCAACCTGAGCGACCCCTCGTCCACGCTGGGCAGCTTCTTCCGACGCTGGTTCTCGAGCTGGTAGCTGTGCCCTCTCCCGGCTGAGCACCCTGTATGTGTGATGGGTGCTGGGTGGGGCGAGCCTGGGGCTTCCCAGGGCCGTGGGGACGGATGCCGGCTTGGGGGCCGGGGCTGCCGGCCCCCGACAGGGGGGGGGGGGGGC